TGACATGAAATATCAATATGGTTCAGCTATCCACACTATTGTGTGCTAAAAATTTTAATAGCACTCCTTATACATTCTCAGATACAGCAATATTTTTGTTTTTAAGTATGAAAAGAATTTTGAAATGATGCTAAGTGCACTGTGCCATTGTTACCACGAGGAGAGTCTTCTGGCATGTCTCTGTAAGGCGTGTAGTAATTGGAATGGGCCTTTGATATTAGTGGGGGAGTATTTTTTTGTCTACTGGGTTTTGTAAATGTGAACGCTTCTGTTGGCATGCACTTATATTGACAAGTCTTGTTGCATTCATCTTGGTATTTTGTGCTTATGTCGCAAGGCCGCTTCAAGTCAGGTTCCAACTGTGCTTAAGGAAACTGACCATCAGCCAGAATGTGTGAATTATAGTAGCGAAATGGAGCATTGTTTTTGTGTATTTAAATTCCATTTATAAAATTAAAGAATCGTCATGTTGGTTTGGCATAGTTCCAAATGTCCGTGGTCACTCTGTCATCGTGCCTGACACTTCAAAGTTTTGGTACGACGTGATTGAGTCGTTTGGATTGCTGTATGTAGTGTTCAGTTGCACCACAATTCATGCCTAAAATTGCAATCCTGAAGTTGCTTTATTCTGTGCATACAGTGCATACGGGGTCGCGACGTTGACGGAAGCAACAGACTCGATGTTCAGATGATACTTTTTATTTGGCCTAACTTGTGGCCAGAAAGCTGAAGATCAGATTTCAGCAACACAGGGACACTGATAGCAGCAAACAGAGCATCTGCTGGCGATACACTGACTAGCGGTGCAGTGCGTCGGCATTTATAGACATGCCATCGAATATTCTAGCGTTATCGCTAGAAGCCACGTAGGTTCCAGAATAATATCTAATGTGCACAAAGTGGGTGTAATTTTAACAAAACGATCTACTACAGCCTTGAAGCGTCTCTAACACCGCAGGCGTGGCCGGCGCTGAGCTTAGTGCAACGGGGCAATAAAAAACTGGAGGGAGGAATGTGGCATTGCCCCCCTCTAAACAGCATCGCTGAGAGTTCATAGTGCCGTCGGGGACAATCTCGTATTCGAGTGGGCCGAGATGTTGAACTATCCTGTATGGTCTGAAGTACCGTCGCAGAAGTTTTTCACCCAGTCCACGCCGGCGTATCGGCGTCCACACCCAAACGCGTTCACTGGGCTGGTATTTCACGCAGTGTCATCGAAAATTGTAGCGGCGGCTGTCGGCCGCCTGCTGATTCTTGATGCGCAGGCGAGCGAGTTGACGAGTTTCTTCTGCACGCTGAAGGTAGGCAGTGACATCGAGGTTTTCTTTATCAGTGACGTTTGGCAGCATGGCGTCGAGCGTTGTTGTTGGATTCCTTCCATAGACCAACTTGTATGGCGACATCTGCGTAGTCTCCTGCATCGCCGTGTTGTAGGCGAAGGTCATGTATGGAAGGATGGCGTACCACGTCTTGTGTTCGACGACGTACATGGCCAGCATGTCGGCGATGGTCTTGTTTAGCCGCTCGGTGAGGCCTTTGGTTTGTGGGTGGTACGCTGTCGTCCGGCAGTGGCTTGTCTGGCTGTATGCCAAAATCGGCTGAGTTAAGTCAGCTGTAAATGCCGTACCTCTGTTGGTATTGAGGGCCTCCGGTGCTCCATGACGTAGGTTGTTTTCAACGAAGAATTTCGCTACTTCGTATGCACTGCCTTTAGGCAGAGCTCTTGTCTCAGTATAGCATGTGAGATAGTTGGTAGCGACAGTGATTTATTTGTTTCCCGAAGTTGAGGTTGGAAACGGCCCTAGTAGGTCCATGCCAATTTGCTGGAATGGTCGGCCCGGTGACTCGATAGGCTGCAGAAGTCCGGCTTGCTTAGTAGGCGGTGTCTTTCGTCGTTGACAGTCTCGACATGTCCTAATGTAAAGAGTGATGTCGGGGCCAGTAATACTTCTCCTGTATTCTTGCGAGTGTACGGAAAACACCGAGGTGTGCACCTGTCAGATCATCATGTAGAGCATCCAAAACCTCTGGACGTAACGCTGAAGGTACTACGAGGAGGTAGTTGGCCCGATGTGGTGAAAAATTTTTCTTGACGAGGATGCCGTTATGCAAGAAAAACGACGCCAGTCCTCGCTTGAATACCTGTAGAAGAACGGCAGCCTTGTCCTCTCAGTATTCCACAAGGACCTTGATTTCAGGGTCGGCACGCTGTCGCTCTGCAAAATCATTGGCGCTTAAGGTTCCCAGGAAGCAGTCGCCGTCCTCGTTGTCCTGCGGCGGTGGGTCAACGGGGGTGCGAGACAGGCAGTCAGCGTCCGAGTGCCTTCGCCCCAACTTGTAAATGACGATGTCGAATTTCTGAAGTCGCAGACTCCATCAGGCGAGGGGACCTGAAGGGTCCTACAAGTTAGCTAGCCAAGAGAGGGCATGCTGGTCGCTCACAATATTGAAAGGCCTGCCGTAGAGGTAGGGTAGAAATAGCCAAAATGATGGCAAGACACCCCTTTACTGTTGCGGAATAGTTAATTTCTGCCTTAGACAGCGACTGGCTCGCAAAACTGATGACCGTTTGAAGTCCGTCAATCTTCTGCCCCAAGATGGCTCCGAGCCCTACACTGCTTGCGTCGATGTGGATTTTCGTGTCGGCGTTTTGGTCAAAATGAGCAAGTATTGGCGGTGTCTGCAGGTGTCGTTTTAATTCTTGAAGTGCTTTCTCCTGCAGGGTTTCCCCCTTGAACCCTACGTTGGTCTTTGTAAGCCTCGACGTTGGTCTTTGTAAGGTCAAGATATACACTTATTTATCTTTATATAAATTAAGTAACGCTACACAGGACATTTTGAATGTGCTTGAGTAACTTCGAGCCTATGCTGAAAAAATCTCGACTGCTTTTGTGAGCTTTGTGTGTTCTGACCTTGAGAAGTTATTAAGATAAGATGTTTTTGTTATAATCACGATTTCCATTCATTTATTGTAAGTGCAATAAGATGAGTCATTTTTGAGAATTTTATAGAGGAAAACTTGGAGGTAGCCCAGATGGGAAGACACTTCTTTTCTGTTGTGGAATAGTTAACTTCTGCCTTAGATAGCAACCGGCTCGTATAACTGATGACCCCTTCAAGTCCGTCAATCTTCTGCACCAGGACAGCTCCAAGCCCCACACTGCTTGCGTTTATGTGGATTTCCGTGTCGGCATTTTGGTCGAAATGAGAAAGTATTGGCGGTGTCTGCAGGTGTTAGTTTAATTCTTGAAATGCTTCCTCCTATGGGGTTTCTCACTTGAACTTTACGCTGGTCTTTGTAAGGTCTGCAGTTGTCGTTTTAATTCTTGAAATGCTTCCTCCTGCGGGGTTTCCCACTTGAACTCTACGCTGGTCTCTGTAAGCCTCGACGTCGGTCTTTGTAAGGTTAGTGAGCGACTCGGCGATCCGTGTGAAGTTTTCGACGAACCGCCTATTAGGCGCACAGGCTGAGAAATTGACGCACGGCCTTCTTTTCAGTGGGTGGCGGGAATGCAGCGATCGCGGTTTGTTCTCAGTACCTCTCGATGTTCACATGATACTTTTTATTGGGCGGAACTTGTGACCAGAAAACTGATCAGATTACACCGACACATGGACACTGTTAGCGGCGAACAGAGCGTAGGCTAGTAATCAACGGACCAGTGGTGAAGGGCGTCGGCATTTGTAGATACTTTTTATTGGGCCGAACTTGTGACCAGAAAACTGATCAGATTACACCGACACATGGGCACTGTTAGCGGCGAACAGAGCGTAGGCTAGTAATCAACGGACCAGTGGTGAAGGGCGTCGGCATTTGTAGATGTGCCGTCGAATATTTTAGCGTTATTGCTAGCAGCCACGTAGGTTCCAGAATAATCACTAATGTGCACAAAGTTGGTGTAATTTTAACAAAACGATCTACTACAGCCTCGAAGGGTCTCGAACACCGCAGGCACGGCCGGCGCTGACCTTAGTGCAACGGGGCGATAACAAGCTTGAGGAAGGAATATGGCAATATTACAAATGTAAAAGGAGTTGATGCTCACGAGTAATGCTGCCTTGTTTAGCAACAGTGTGTGAGCATGTACAGAAAATTGCTGTAGTGTTCACCTTCTATTGTTCGCAGCATGTGCACGTATAAATTAATCAGTGCTGCATACTGAAAAATTTTGATACAAGAATGTTTCGCGGCGTTTTCTGCATTAGCACCCATGATTAGACGCTGACTGGTAACCTCTGTTGCAATGAAAAAAAAAAAAATGCCACAAAGTTTGGTTGTTGACATAGGTTAGCGAAGGAAGTGAACTTCACTCAAGAAATATATTTCGCGCTGTCCTCAACAGCACTCACTGATACTCAGACTCGCTAAAATATTACCAACATAGGCTCACACCTAGATCAGAGTCCGAGTGAGTGAACTCATTGATGTAGTAAACTTTGTCAATCATGGTGTATACTCTTTAATGTCTTTTTCATATAATTGGTACTTTGTGATTAGCCTTTTGACCTCGTACCTTCAGATACAAGTTTTCAGTGGTTGCAATTCAGCGAGGCATTATGCACACGAGATGTGTCTGTCGCAAAGTTCCGGGGAAAGAGATTGCTGTCAAGGCACTCTCCTCTCCCTCATAAAACTCACACTGGATAACTATTAAGGTGGCTGATTTAAATATGTGTGAGTAGACATTAGTGTAAACTAGAGCCAATATAAGCCAGATGGTAATGAACCATAGGTTGGCAAAAAAAGGGGAGGAAGAGGTCTCTCAGACTTGCTCAATAACATATATTGGGCTTAGGAATTGCTTCCCAGAATTTTGCTAAGCAACACTCATCTGTTCTCATTCTGACTCGAACTCACACACACAGCCTCGATCCGAGTGAGTTGACTCATGATTAGTTTACCAAGCTTTGGTTGTCACTGCCTTTAAAGAAATTATTTTGGTTGAAATAAGGAATTTTGTTGCTGCTACCAAGTTGCAGTGTTCCTCAACTTTCATCACGGGAAGAACCGTGGATGCCCTAAAGATCATCCTGAAAACAGCTCCCATTGGCTCAAAATGCCAAAGTGTAAAGGTGAGTTCACTGCAGTCGAAGCTGCTGAGGTTGCTTTGCTTCATTCCCAGCTTCGTTTCTGCATGTGATCTTTGAGTAACTAAGGGCTGAGCTAGCGTTGTAGTTGTTGAAAAAACAGGTCACTGACCAATGTCAAACAAAACAATGACGTTTCGGGACCCGTACGGGTCCCTTGTTCACAATGGAATGACGGCTGAGCAACAGGTTCTTATGTAACGTTGAGCGCATGACGCAAAGTACGGGAGTACACGTGGTTTAGTGTGCCAGATGATCTATTGATTGTGTTACTTGTCGTCTGAATGATTAGTGATTCGAGGTTCAGTCTGGTTGTAAAATTCTTCTCCGTGGCCACGATGCGTGCGTTGTCCCAGCTTATCTCGTGGCCCGTCTTCTCGGCATGCTCTGCGAGTGCATTTGTCACTGTGTGGCGCTTGGCGACGTCATTCTTGTGTTGCATCAGACGTTTGCAGTAATTTCCACTCGTGCCAATGTACACAGATTCGCAATCGGCGCATGGTATCTTGTAGACCACACCAGGAAAGTGTTGCCGAGGGAGAGGATCCTTCACATTTAGCAACTCAGCCTTAAGCTTGCTTGCTGGAACATGCGCGATCTGTACACCACGTTTCCTGAATAGACGGGCTAGGGCTTCGCTTATATTTGGAATATAAGGAATCGATGCACGCTTTTTTGTAGACGATGTGTTATGCATGGCCTGACTAGTTGACTGCAGTTTATGCATGACGGATTTAGTTGTTTTCCTAATAAAAATCTTGGGGTATCCATTCTTGATCAGGTCATCTTCAATGATCCGGAGCTCCTCCTGCAGGCTTTCTTCATCGGAACAAGTGCGAATCGCTCGTTGAACTAAAGACCGAATCACTGAGCGTTTGTGGGCTACCGGGTGGACTGACTCATAGTCGAGGTATCTACTGGAGTGCGTTGGCTTTCGGTACACAGAGAAGGCGAGGCCTGTGGGAGTACGTTTTACAACTGCATCCAAGAAAGGGAGGCAACCGTCTTTTTCTTCTTCCACAGTAAACTTGATGGAAGTCTCGACGCCATTTAGGCAGTCAAGGAAAGCTTGGACGTCTTTCTTCTTTATCACGCAGAAGCAGTCGTCGACGTATCTCAGAAAAACCTTGGGTCTCGGCTGAAATGTTTCCAATGCTTTCTGCTCAATTGCTTCCATTGTGATATTCGCAGTTGTGACCGAAATCGAAGCTCCCATTGCGGTACCGAAAACTTGCCTGTAGAATTCACCCTTGCACGAGAAGTAAGTGTTGGATAGGCAAAACCGTAACAAGGTGCACAGCTCGGTGACGTCGAACGGTGTGCGAATAGCCAATGTCGTGTCCTTGTGAAGCAATTGTCTGGAAGTGTCTACAGCAAGGTCGACGGGAACACTTGTGAAGAGGGAGCAGACATCAAATGAAACCAGTACTTCGTCGACATCCACAGTGATACTCTTCATTTTGCTTATGAAGTCATTGGTGTTCCGGAGGTTAGTTTCAGTCTTGCCTGCAAGGGGAGCCAGGATGCCGTGAAGATACTTTGAGAGACTGTATAGGGGTGACCTAGTGAAATCTACTATGGGCCTTAGAGGCGTTCCGCTTTTGTGAATCTTCGGTAAACCGTATATCGCTGGAGCAGAACCATTGGTGCACAGCAGCTGGAAGTATTACCTTTTTGCTGATGCAGGAAGCATCTGAAAAATACTAGAGAGCGTCTTTTGCAGGCCCGTTTGGACTTTCGAGGTAGGATCCTTGTTAATCTTGGCGTACGTTTTACAGTCCCCCACTATCTCCGTCATCTTCGACTCATCTTATCTACACGACTGGCAGCCTTCAAGACGCACCTGCGTTTCAACGTAACCTGTAAGTCCAAGCAACTCATCCCAAAATCTTTGCAGTTAAAGCACCCCGTGAAATCGGCATTCGGTCATCAAGTCATTTGGAAAGCTGAACGGCAGCTTCTTCAAGCACGGATAGAAGACTGCAAGCAGACTGTGAAGAGCCTTGAGACTGACATCTTCTTCGCAACATGCCAGCTGGAATTCATCATGCCTGAATTACTCCCTGAAATACATCTAGTGGCGAACCAAGCATCGCGACGACGAACAGAAAAGCAGGAAACGTCACAAGAGCGCAAACTGAGTGCTTTGCTAGAGAAAGGCAGGAAAACCAGAGGACCCATGTTCGAGGTCAGGAACTTGTACTCATACGAGCTAACTCCTGCGGAATGCCAAGTTTTGAGCCGTGGTCTCAACTTCAACCAAGCAAAGCAGCCGGACACACGCAAGGTCGTGTGTGCTGTCGAAAACGCTAATGGTCTACTTGGAGAAAGTGAACGAGACGAAATCCGTACGAGAGCAGTAAGTATACTATCGAGAATTCGCAAGTCTGGCTGCCAGCAAGTCCTCTCGGAAGACGAGGAAAAAGCGATTAAGGCATTGCACAAAAACAAGAAGATTGCCGTACTTCCTGCGGACAAAGGCAACGTGACGGTTGTGCTTGACCGGTCGACGTATGAGTCCAAACGGGCCTGCAAAAGACGCTCTCTAGTATTTTTCAGACGCTTCCTGCATCAGCAAAAAGCTTATACTTCCAGCTGCTGTGCACCAATGGTTCTGCTCCAGCGATATACGGTTTACCGAAGATTCACAAAAGCGGAACGCCTCTAAGGCCCATAGTAGATTTCACTAGGTCACCCCTATACAGCCTCTCAAAGTATCTTCACGGCATCCTGGCTCCCCTTGCAGGCAAGACTGAAACTAACCTCCGGAACACCAATGACTTCATAAGCAAAATGAAGAGTATCACTGTGGATGTCGACGAAGTACTGGTTTCATTTGATGTCTGCTCCCTCTTCACAAGTGTTCCCGTCGACCTTGCTGTAGACACTTCCAGACAATTGCTTCACAAGGACACGACATTGGCCGATCGCACACCGTTCGACGTCACCGAGCTGTGCACCTTGTTACGGTTTTGCCTATCCAACACTTACTTCTCGTACAAGGGTGAATTTACAGGCAAGTTCTCGGTACCGCAATGGGAGCTTCGATTTCGGTCACAACTGCGAATATCACAATGGAAGCAATTGAGCAGAAAGCATTGGAAACATTTCAGCCGAGACCCAAGGTTTTTCTGAGATACGTCGACGACTGCTTCTGCGTGATAAAGAAGAAAGACGTCCAAGCTTTCCTTGACTGCCTAAATGGCGTCGAGACTTCCATCAAGTTTACTGTGGAAGAAGAAAAAGACGGTTGCCTCCCTTTCTTGGATGCAGTTGTAAAACGTACTCCCACAGGCCTCGCCTTCTCTGTGTACCGAAAGCCAACGCACTCCGGTAGATACCTCGACTATGAGTCAGTCCACCCGGTAGCCCACAAACGCTCAGTGATTCGGTCTTTAGTTCAACGAGCGATTCGCACTTGTTCCGATGAAGAAAGCCTGCAGGAGGAGCTCCGGATCATTGAAGATGACCTGATCAAGAATGGATACCCCAAGATTTTTATTAGGAAAACAACTAAATCCGTCATGCATAAACTGCAGTCAACTAGTCAGGCCATGCATAACACATCGTCTACAAAAAAGCGTGCATCGATTCCTTATATTCCAAATATAAGCGAAGCCCTAGCCCGTCTATTCAGGAAACGTGGTGTACAGATCGCGCATGTTCCAGCAAGCAAGCTTAAGGCTGAGTTGCTAAATGTGAAGGATCCTCTCCCTCGGCAACACTTTCCTGGTGTGGTCTACAAGATACCATGCGCCGATTGCGAATCTGTGTACATTGGCACGAGTGGAAATTACTGCAAACGTCTGATGCAACACAAGAATGACGTCGCCAAGGGCCACACAGTGACAAATGCACTCGCAGAGCATGCCGAGAAGACGGGCCACGAGATAAGCTGGGACAACGCACGCATCGTGGCCACGGAGAAGAATTTTACAACCAGACTGAACCTCGAATCACTAATCATTCAGACGACAAGTAACACAATCAATAGATCATCTGGCACACTAAACCACGTGTACTCCCGTACTTTGCGTCATGCGCTCAACGTTACATAAGAACCTGTTGCTCAGCCGTCATTCCATTGTGAACAAGGGACCCGTACGGGTCCCGAAACGTCATTGTTTTGTTTGACATTGGTCAGTGACCTGTTTTTTCCACAATGCCTTTACCTGACCAGATGGCATTCCGTCGAACTCTCGACTAAGCTAGCGTTGTATTGGAATGACTGGAGGCTCATCTTTCGTACATTGTCGAGAGTATAAATGCACGCCAAAATTATGGTAATATGTAGTTTTGTACCGGCATAGCACTGAAGGTACGCATTTGACAATTGGGGCATTTCTGAACAGTTGAATAACTTGCATAAAGATCAAGTCAAATGTCTTAGCAGTTGTCTTTTATGTAGACACCCACACATGCCAGATTGATGGGTGCGTCTATTGCATGGGCATGGATAGAAAAGTTTTTGTGTCTTCAGTTGTTAGCGGGCATGTAAGAAGTTTTCTTTTTTGTCTGTGTTTGCATATCCTGTATTTTTATGGTGTTTAAATGCCCTGTACCATGAACATGACAGCTCACTGTTTTTTTCAGTGTAGTATATTGAAATGAAAGTCAGTAGTGTGTGTTTAACATGTGTTCATGTATGACACTTGGTCTCTGTGCAACTAGTCATTCAAATTTTGTTTAAATGCATTAGCAAAGAGCTTATTTTGCAGAAATTCTGGCATTGACGTCATTGGTTTTAGCATTTTCAATGGAGGTGGAAATGTTGTCGGCTCGTGTGCGCAGATTTGGGCACATGTTAAAGAACCCCAGGTGGTCTAAATTTCCGGAGGCCTCCACTACAGCGTCTCTCATAATCATATGGTGGTTTTGGGACGTTCGACCCCACATATCAATCAATCATGTCATTGTTTTTAAGCAAAAAATTGTAATCTTGTGCATGGCCAAAACAATTGAGAAAGATGCGAATAAAATAGTTT